GCAGGGTCCAAACATGCCATAGGCTAGAGACCATTCCCAAAGCTTCTCCTTATATACAGGAAGCAGAACACATCCCAAAGGCAGCTACTTAGCAGCTTGTGGTAGATCTCACCTTGGACTTAATTGCCAGTCTCATCATGGGGAATAACTACCACCAGCTGCCCAGCCACTCAACCAGGCAAGCCAAATTGACACACAAATATAACTACCACACTGGTCTTTTTTTTTTTTTAATTTTTATTGTGATTTGGGTGAAAGGTTACAGAGCAAATTCAGTTTTCATACAGTAGTTCATACATATTTTGTTTCATGACATTAACTGCAATTTCCTACAATGTAACAGCTCTCTTCCTACTTCCTCCCTGTAGTTATACCTCTTCCCTGTGTCCTTCTTTCTTATGCATTCTGGCCCTGAGCTATCTCAAGCCTGTTCTTTTTTATGATTTTGAGTTTTGTTTCACATTTTTCTCCCACTCAATCCAGGATCTCCTGCACTGATACCTTTCTGAGTGGTTGACAGTGGTAGCTGGGCACTATCTAGTTCTTGATCCAAACCTTTTTTGACTGGAAGAGATTTCATGCTTTCAGGTGTTCCCTTTGAGCTTGCAGCTCTGACAGTGTTCATTAGCTTTTGACTCTTCATTGAAACATACCTTTTAAGGATTTGATTATTTCCCTTGGGGAAAATTTAAAACAACTAACTGTGGTACTTCGTAATTCTGAGTAGCATAGTACAGGGCAGTCTGACCTGGGTTTCAAGCCTAGCTCTGCACTGTGTGACTTGGAGGAAGTCATTTAACCTCTTGGAGTCTTAAGTCCCTCATCTGGGCTATGTGTTAAAGCTGCTAGAGGGTAGTGAGGGTTAAATAAGATAGCATCTGACCTGTTTGCACACAAAGGCTATTTCTGGGGGGTACACAAGAAACTACTAACAGGTTTTACCTCTGGGGAGCAGCAGTTGGGCATTTAGAAAGGGAGGGACGTTCTCTCTGAAGTTTTTTTTTTTTCTTTTTTTTTTTACCATATGCACATCTTTCTTATTATTTAAAACAATGTATTGCAAAACATTCCACACATATCAGAAACCTAAACCAGTTGCAGGAGTCAATTTCGACTCAAGTTGACCCAATGTGTGTCAGTAGAAATGTGTTCCACAGTTTTCAATGGCTGTGATCTTTTGTAAGACCACCATCTGGCCTTTCTTCTGAGGTGCTTCTGGGTGGATTCAAACTCAACCTTTTGGTTAGTAGCTGGTTGCACCACCCAGGGACTCCATAGCACACATAGGAGTATATATAACACATGTTCGTAATAAAATGACCATCCTTGTGCTTACCAGCTAACCTAAGAAACAGGGTATTACCAGCATCTTTAAAGCCAGAAACCAAACCTAACTGGTTGCTTATGTATTACTTTTTCAGTTAAAACTAGTTGTTAAATTAAAACTTAGTGAATTTTTCAGAAACATGATTAATATACCAATCAGAATGCCTGGGGTGTGCTTAGTGATGTTGATTGAGTCTGAACACAGCCTGCTGCAGAGCTCTGCCTCTGGCAAGTTATTCTTGTAAGCACTAGAAGAAGAACATTTGCACCCGTCTCCCCTGCCCTATGCTACGTGGACCTCAAGAAGAACTATCTCAGAAAGCTTTTTAACAGTACTCCAAATAAAACCAAGAGACAGCCTTGTCTCCAGGAGCTTTTCTTTCAAGGAGGCTCTGTGGGTTTTTAGGCTCTTCCAGCCCACAGTGCTTTTTCAAGCTATGCAGGGCTGGATTTAAATGAAGGCTGGTCATGGTTGCTGGCACAACTAATGCATAGGCAAGCTGCTTGGCAGTAGGCAGTCACCGAGGCTGGATATATGGGCCCAAAACAGATGGTGTGCAGACAAGAGAACGTGACAGATGGCTCTGAGAGCAGCTTGATGGGTCACCTGAAGCTAGACTGTGGTATATGAATCTTGTATGGGCCCAGCCAGCATCTGCCTTGTGAAGTCTGACCCTGAGGCAAGGTGTGCTCAGCATCAAAGGCCCAGGGCCTCTTTTATATCTGGTCAGGTTCTCCAATGTGGGAGGTTGGGGGCCTCTGCCCCAAACTCCATATTGCCAGTGTCCCCTCCCCAGATTCTTGCACTTTCTTTCATCAGTCTACCTTGCTATGAGGTTCCAAACTAGTGTATCTTACATATAGGGCTTGAGCCACCTGCATGGGAATCACCTGGGCTGTTTGTTAAAATTTAGGTTCCCAGGCCCTATTTCAGACCCATAGCTCAGATTTCTCTAGGGACTTGGGATCATGCTTAGCACCAGCACCCCAGGTGAATATGGTGGTCACTAGGATCCATAAACATCATCCACATCCTTTCAGCCTTAGATCAAGATTTGCAAAAAGAGCCCATGGTCTGAGTCTTGCCAGTTCCTTGCAAATTGTCAATGACTGGAATAAAAGAGGGAGAGAGAGGAAGTGAAGGCCCATTTCCTACTCTTTATTAAGGCATCATCACAGCCTGGTTTCTTTTTGGATCAGTCTTTATGTTCTCTGTGTACTTCTGGGAGTCATGCCAGTTTGCATAGCTATCAAAGGATGGACAGTGTTTGTCTAGGTGGAATTTTTTTTTTAAATTTTTATTGTAATTTGGGTAAAAGTTTACAGAACAAATTCATTTTCCATACAGCATTTCATACACATTTTTGTTTCACGACATTGACTGCAGTTCCCCACAATGTAACAGCTCTCTTCCCACTTCCTCTTTGTAGTTACCTCTTTCCTGTATCCTTCCCTCCCATGCACTTCTGCCCCCTGAGCTGTCGATACACAGCCTTTTTTTTTCCCTATGATTGAGCTCTCCAAGGAGTGTATCTACCTAATGTAAATGTTCAGCTTATATGCCTGTCTGTTGTTTGGCTGCAAGCCACAGGAGTAAGTTCAGTTCTAGACGGAGGGGTAACTGAGGGCCATAGTCTCAGGGGTCTCACCAGGCTCTATCAGGCCAGCAAACCTGGTCTTTGTTTTTTATGATTTTGAGTTTTATCCTACATTGTTCTTCTACTCTATCTAAGATCTGCACCAATCCCCCTCCAAGTGGTTGACAGTGGTAGCCAGGCACCATCTAGTTCTTCTGGTCTGTGGTCATATAGGCTGAGGATCTCATGGTCTGCTAGTTTCTTAGACAGTTTCCATGTGTTTACCAGTTCCCTGGACTAATTGCTTCCATACATCTTTGGTTTTCTTCATTCTTCTTTGTTCTGGATGAAGAGAGACTCATCGTTACATCTCGATGGCCACTTGCAAGCTTTTAAGAACCCAGTCGCTACTCACCAAACAGGATATAGAACAGGGTTTTTGTGTAGTATGTTATGCCACTTGAGCTTGATGTCCCCTGCGACCATGGTCCCAAGGCCACAGGTCCAACTACTCACTCCCTTAGGGTACCTGGCTGTGGCCAAGAAGCCACCACAACCTTGTCCCTTGTCAGCTCTACTATACACCAGATCTTCTCACCAAAACAAAACAAACAAACAAAAAAAATTCACTGCTGTTGAGTCAATTCCAACTCATAGCGATCCCTCCTTGGGTTTCTAAGGCAGTATCTCTATGGAAGTAGATTGTCCAGTCTTTGTTCTGAGAAGTGGCTGGTGGGTTCGAACCACCAGCCTTCTGGTTAGCAGTGAAATAATGCCTTAGGCTCTACACCACCAAAGCTCCTGGACCTTCTCACAGCACATATAAATACACATGCAGAAACGTCGTCTGTCAGCCCTATACATGGTCATGGGCACACTCCACCCTGCATAGACATACCTGATCATTCAGCTGTCTACCCATCTATCCCTAGGTAGAATTTTTTTTTTTTTAAATAAGAATGGTATTAAAGTACTAGGAGGAAACATTGATTTCCTTCTGTGTCTGGTGCATGGTTGTTGTTCTGGGGTCTCCCTTCATCATGACCCTGGGAACTCCATGCACATTGGGTCTCCTATTACATCTTCCTTTTCCTTGGTTTACTCCTTCATTTTGGTGGAGTAGGTACCTCTAATTGGCTTCATCTTAGAAGGTACTTGTATTGCTGTCAATTTCTGAGCCTTTTGGGCTTGTGTAGTGTAAATGTAGTTGCCTCTTAGTTTTTCCTGGTGCTGGCTAGCACTTCAGCTTTATCTAGTGTGTTAAGTTAGTTTTCCTTGTCCCTTTGCTTTTCCAGGTCTCAGAATTTTGTTTTGCCCCTTTAAAATTTTATTTATGCCTTTAAAAAAATTCTGTTGTTTTAGTAGGGTACAGGGAGGTAGCAAAAATAAATGTGAAAGTGCAGTCTACTATTACTCCTAATTTATCTGGTACTGTCTTATAGTTAAACATTTCCATAAACTGCTCCAACTTCTTTTTAGAACAAAAATAGAATGCATGAGTAACTTGTCTTGATTAGAATTCTCTAGAGAAACAGAACTAGTAATATTTATCTCTTATGTAAGGCCAACCCACATTATGGAAGGTAATGTGTTTTACTTAAAGCTGATTTAATCACATGTAAGCATTTCATAGCAACATCTAGACTTAGGTTTGACCTGAACTGGGCATTATAGCCTAGCCAAGTTGTCGCATAAAATTCATGGTCACGTGACTGAATGGAGACTCAACATTAATTGACCTTGGTTGGGTTTTAGCCTTTCTTGCTGTCTTAGCTCTGAAGTCTTAGCTCTGAAGTTTCCTACCAGCCCAAAGCATGCTTTAGCAGTGTGAGTTAGCATGTCCAATTGTCAGAGTCTTTAAAAAGGATTGGAAGAGCATGGCAACTACAGGGGACTCCTATACCTAAATGAATCTTGTTGGAAAGAGAAGAGGACTTGAGGCATGTGGGAGCAGTGGCCCAGGGTTCCTGGCTGCTGATAGGGAGATTGTTCCACTTTCTCTGAAGCCAGCTGGGAGCAGTAGCTAAGACAGCCTCTGCCAGCACTCCCCTGTACCCGTGAGTTTGTTGGCCTGAAGATTTGGTTCTCCTCCCACAGATTTCTGCATGAATCCCCAGACAGTGCTGCTTTTGAGAGTCATTGCTGCCTTCTGCTTCCTGGGCATCCTGTGTAGTCTCTCTGCATTCCTTCTGGATGTCTTTGGGCCCAAGCATCCAGCCCTGAAGATCACCCGTCGCTATGCCTTTGCCCACATTCTCACAGGTAACCTGGGGCCTGCTTACGGCGTAGAAAGAACTGCCATAGGGTGAGCGCATGCCATGTGGAATTGCAAGTGGGAATACAGGGGTTCCTATGAGCAGACACCATTCCAGGTGCTCATTTCAGCCCTAGCTTTTCACAGAACATCTGGGCATGTTGGCAGCTTGCTTCAGTCAGTGCATGCATACTTGCCAGGACCACAAATCCACTCAGCCCAGCTGTAGAGAGGTAATATTGTTAGAATACCACAAAGAATTCATGGCTCTTTAAAAACTGGATTTCAAGGTCAAGTGGGCTCGTAGGTCCTGGAGCCAGCAATGAAGGAGCCGAGGTGTTTCTCTGTGTGTCCTGGAGTGCATAGCCTTATCAGGTTTTCTCCTTCCCTCCATCTTCCTGCTTTTCCTGCTATGTCTATTTGATAGTAGTGGTGCCAACTCGAGCTCCCAAACTGTATGCCTTACCTATTCCTCTCAAGTACCCAATGGCATCCAGTAGCCTCAATATCTAAGTATCCCAATAGTGAATTCCCGATAAAGAGAGAATCTGACCAAGGTGAGATCAAACATCTTTCCCCAGTTCCAGCCTAAGAATTCCATGACCAAGAGTGCTCCCCCTAGTGGGTCTGGAGCCAGGCAAATATTCTAAGAAGGGGGCTCAGGGAGAGAGGCTACAGTTGGTTCCTTGAGCAAGTACCTACTGACCCTCTTCCATGCCATTCTTTGTCCCCCAGTCCTGCAGTGTGCCACTGTCATTGGCTTTTCTTACTGGGCTTCTGAACTCATCCTCGCCCAGCAGCAGCAGCATAAGAAGTACCATGGCTCCCAGGTCTACGTCACCTTTGCCGTGAGCTTCTACCTGGTGGCAGGAACTGGTGGAGCCTCAATATCTAGTTTTCAGGAGGCTTCTACCTGGTGGCAGGAACTGGTGGAGCCTCAATATCTAGTTTTCAGGAGGCTTCTACCTGGTGGCAGGAGCTGGTGGAGCCTCAATCCTGGCCACAGCAGCCAACCTTCTGCGCCACTACCCTACAGAGGAAGAGGAGCAGGCACTGGAGCTGCTCTCTGAGATGGAGGAGAATGAGCCATACCCAGCAGAGTATGAGGTCATCAACCAGTTCCAGCCTCCCCCGGCCTACACACCCTAAGGCCAGCCACTGGGGTTTCTTCCTCAGCTCCCTTCCCCCCAGCTCTACAGCTGTGTTCGCATCCAGAGGAGCTCCTTTCCCCCAACAGGCCTCACTGGTAGTATCCTGAACATCTCCCAGCCTTCCCCAGGAGAGACTCTGCCTTTAGGTTTTTCATGTATCCCTGCTCTTGAAACGTGGGATGCATAGATCTGATCTGATATAATGCACTGTATCCCCACTTGCCACCTTCCTCTCCCTTCACGTTCACTAGTCATTACCAACCAGGGATGGTCATACAAGTTTTCTTCCTTAATGGACCACATCTTTGGGACTGGGATTCTCCTTGGGGGACTGCTGACAGTGCATAGTCCCAGACAGAAATGTCAACAAGGCCAAAAGGAAAGGGAATTGTGCCCTGCAGGCTCACTTCATAAAGGTCAGTGTTTCTTCCACAGCTGTAGTTCTGGGCTGACCATCCCTATTCCTTCTTGGAGTGCCCCAGTACCAGGCCATGATTCTATGGAATTCTCTGCACTTTAGTCTTTGGACTTCCTGTCACATGTGTTGTTTTACGAAGAGAAAGAATGGCTGTTGGGAAGCAGAGCAGTTGCTCTCTGACCCTGCTCTTGCTTTGGCTGGAGCCCAGTCAAGGAGAGCAGAACCTGGCATAAGACTGAGGCCTTTGGGTGCCTACCAAGGATCAGAGTGAAGGGGACAAAATCTCTCCAGCCCTTTCACCTTTTAAAATGGGGGTCGTTTTAAAAGGAAAAAACAAAACCAAGCAGCAGCAACAGTACTCTCTTTTTAATATAGGCTATTACCATTTTCAGAAATTGCTCCCATTCCTTTTGGCTCTGCAATAATTTGGGCCTCAGCTCCTTCCAAGCCCATGACAGTTCTTCCTTGAAATTCTCCCAGCAGAATGCAGCCCTATTCCCCTGACTCTTCCTTCCTGGTGACTGTGGCTCCCTGGGGCTTTACTGTGGAATCCAGAGCCCCATTGCCCCTGAGGGGCTGAGGACTGTGTGGCCTGGCTGGCTGGCCAGCGTGGTGCTCCTCAGGACTGCAGCACTGAGATGTAACCTGGCCTCAGATCAGGAACTGGGACCACAGCGTCACAGGAGAAACCACCACTCTCCACTTAGGAGTCACAACCAATGGGACCCTATCACATGAGGTTTCAGAACCACCCGGGCAGACTAGAAGACCTGGCTGTATGCTTCAGGCTCAGCACGTTCCCCAGGCTGTAACCTGGGGCTACAACTTGCTGCATGCCCCCTCCCCTTCTTGAATGTATTCTGCTCTTGCCATGTGCTACTGGCTCTTTCTTGTCCAGCCGTCACTCTGGTGACCCACACATGGCTCTGAGTCTGAACTTTCTGCCCTGAGATCTGGGGCATAAAGTGGGTGAATCTTAAGAGACTTTCAGTATGGATTCAGATGGCCAAGCTACCCTTGTTAAATTACTAGCTTCTTTGGAATCAGTGCCCAGTGCTGAGCTGAAGAGGAGACGGAGCCCAATCTCTGCACTCCTGAGGCCGTGAGACAGTGAGACTAGAGAATGGACACTGCTGTTGGGCTGTAGCTGGCAAGGGACCGTCATGTAATTCCAATGCCTCCGTCCGTCTTCAGCCAGATTGATAGCAGACCATATCCTCACATGAGTGAGTGGTAACCTGGAGTTCACTGCTGTGATGCCAGAGAGTATCCCAGTGTGACTGTCACACTGAGGCTTTCTTCTCTTAGGCAAGAAAGGCCCTGTAATACCTGAGCACAAAGCCAAGGAGCTGTATATCAAGTCTTGTCTTTCTGTTAAGTACTGAGATTGTCGTTGGCAGGTTTCTGAGGTGTGGCCAGCTCTCTGACCATGGGTGTGTGAGCAGGCAGGCCAGGGGACTGGGCACTGAACATGCATGCCAGAATGACTGGTCATCCTAAGAGGACTTGGATGTGACCCTGTGGGCTTTTCCATGTGATTTGGAACCCACTTTTTATTAGCATCCCATGCCTCTGGCCTTTCTCTTTCTCCCTGCCATCCTGACACTGATAGTTTGTCATATAAATTCCCCTGGTTGTGATTTTTTTTTCTAGAAAATAATTAAAAAACAAACAAACTAAAATAAGAATGGAAATGCTAATGGCTCCCTGTCATTTTTCTATCACCGTTTTTCCGCATTTGGTTTATTCCCTCCCTCATAAACAGCAGGAGAAATTGATGAGGCTTGTAGTTAATAGAGAGAAAGGACATGGGTGTGCCTTATCCATGCAAGGTACTGTCATCTACATGATCCCACTAATCCTGACAACCTTGGAGTCCACAGCCTTGGTCCTACAGTTAGGAATAGCAGATGACTCCCACCCAACTCCTCAACTTCAAACCCTGAGCTCGTCTCTCTGCACTCTCTGGTTAATTGTAGAGAGCGAGCTGCTTCTGAGTGCTAGCCACTGTGCAGGAAGAAATGTACCTCCTTAGGACTGGGCCTTACAGAAGAAATTGCACTTGCTGTTTTAAACCACAGGGAATACTTCCTGGGAAAGGCTTGTAAGTGGAAAGAGTTGTGTGTGTGACCTGTAGAAAAACTCTTCAGGGTCAGTACCAGGCCTCGATGGTTACACATTCTCTTCATTTATTCATACATTCAGCCAACACACTGAGCCCCAGTATATGTCAGGGTAAAAGCATAGGGTTCCCTTTGAGGAGCAGCCCATTTAGGTGCTCCTTTTTTATTATTCCTGGAAAACATACACATCTTTATTATTACTATTATTTATTCTTTTTTTTATTGTGGTGTGGGTGAAAGTTTACAGAGCAAATTCACTTTCCATACAGCAGTTTACATATATTTTGTTCCATGACATTGACCACAGTTTACCACAATGCAACAGCTCCCCTCCCACTTCCTCCCCATAGTTACCTCTTCCCTGTGTCCATCCTCCATGCACTCCTGTCCCCTGAGCTGTCTCCCTGTGCATAAACAGCCCTTCTTTCTCCCATGATTGTTCTCTCCAAGGGGTGTATCTACTTGATGTTCAGCTCATATGCCTGTCTTTTGTTTGGCTGGAAACCACAGGTGTGGGTTTAATTCCAGATCTGAAGGGAAGCTAGGGGCTATAGTCTCAGTGGTTCCACCAGGCTCTATCGGACCAGCAAACCTGGTCCCCTCTTTTTTTCTCTCCAAATGATTTTGAGTTTTGTTCCACA